GTCTCATTTGTGCAGTCGTATGCTCAGTATCTCCCAAACACATACATTTTCACTAAAACATCAAGATTCAGTACAAACAGTCTCACACACTGACGAGTAGTGCACCTGGGCACGCTCAGGGTGCACTACGCCTCGATGGAAGACACTTATACTGTAACATTTTAGCAAAATACATGTGTTTGGGAAGTACAGTGCATACGACTGGATAAATGAGACATGGATTATTCTGCATGATTTGTATGAGAGTTTGTCAACAGGCTGTTTTGATATAGCTTTGCTGTTGTTAAAGGTCTAGTGTGAAGGATTTAGCGGCATCTAACCAGCTAGAAACCTCTTCCATGTGCCATGTGTGTAGGAGGACTACGGTGGCTGATGCGAAAATGCGAATGAGCCCTCTCTAGAGCCAGTGTTTGGTTTGTTCGTTTTGGGCTACTATAGAAACATGGCGGAACAACATGAACATTGAAGAGGACCCACTCCATCTGTGCATTCCAATCTCCATACTACTATACTATATAGTATGCCAGAACAAGTTTTAGTATGTCCAAATACATAATATGTGAAATGCGGTATGCCCAAAATACCAGGATGTTCTATTACATCCAGTTAGATTTTCGGGCTGTTCTGACCCATAATCCTCTTCACATCGACTGAACCACAAAGAGATGAGACAAACAGATTGACAGCTGTCAGAAGCCGCAATGACAGATGACAGCGCATTCGAGTAACTAATGACCAATAGAACAGTAATAAGGGAAATATGAATTGTTAAAGCGAAAAAATGAATCATAAATATTACAATCAACAACAGGACATAACTAAAAATTATAGCTGCTGCGCAGCGATGGGTCAGGTCCGGGCATTTTTAGGCAATTCTGAGCAACCTCTGGAACCTAAGACCGTCATCAACCGCTCTGAGCTAATTGGCAAGTAGCAACTCAACAGTGGCTTCACAAACTGAGTAAGCCATTCACTGTTGTGTAGGAAAGCAACCATCCGTGCATGGAAAGGCAGATTTGAAACCACTGTAAAAAATTCAGTTATTAAGACAAAAATCTGAAAATACACATATTACATCTAGACAGCATGGAGATGTTGGTAATTTGTTTGTAACAATGATTGATTTGCTCCATAAGTGAAAAACTGATGTTTAAAATTGCCATTTTTACATTGACTCCAATTGTTCACATTAGAGCAAAATTCAAAATGCTGTCAAAAATTCAGTTTTTGAGATAAAATTCTGAAATTTGCCACACATCATCTACCATGACTCTAGAATTTTGTCATTTTTTTCATGAACATTGAAGATTTATTTAGCAAGAATTTGCATGTATATGTTTACAGTACCGTTTACAGTCAAACATTTTGATGCACTGTAGGCTCAATTTTTGATAAATCAAAAATCTGAGAAACATAGTTTTTGTAGGACAGTCTGAAGATGCTCTGTAGCAAGTTTGGTGTCAATTGAGCAAAAATTGTGGGAGGAGATAGGTTTAAGAAGTTTTACAGTTTTTGAAAAAAACAGAGTGATGAACTTCATAATTTTTAATAGGTTTAAATGTACAAAAGTTTCTTCAGTATTGGGGCTACAGTTTGATGAAAGTTGTGAAGTTGTAGCACGTATGGTTGATTTGTTATGAATTTTCAAAGTTTTGAACTTTAGACGCTTGCTGTAGCGCCACCATCAGGACAATTGGCTTGAGTTTACAGCTGAGGATATCTGGCATGAGACTGGACCTTTGTGCAAAGTTTGGTGAGTTTTCCCCTATGGGAAGTATGATTTCCTCGGAAGAAGAAAGAAGAAAGTTAAACTAGTAACAACAGCAGAGCTCTGCGGGTTGATCTCCATCTCTGGCAAATATGGTAAGTGCTATTTGTTTTATCTCCATGATAACGGATATTAAAGCGGGTCATGGTTCAGGGTGTGATGTTAGAAGACAGTAGTATGTCCCGATTGTGTGCATACTGCATGCAACAGTACGTACTTTTTAAGGGCGGCTGCAGTGCGTACTAAAAGTAAAAAGAAAGAGTATGTGGTTTGGAACGCACCCCTAATGTAGCTTTAAATGGCTTATTCTAAGGTAGCAGATATACAATTCTTCAGGTGATATAATACACCATAATATATACCTCTAAATCTTACACACTGGACCTTTAAATGCAGACCATGATTACTTCTATTCATGACAAATGTTTGCTTTTTTAAAAATCTCTGTTCACCATGGAGACATGCAAGAAAAACAAATTTTTCTTCACAAATTCAACATATCCCGGGGCAAATAATGATGATGTATTCCTTTAAAATGACAAAAGAAACCAGTTAAGTAAAGCATTTTTCACATCCACAGGGAGGCCACAGGTCAAGCTCAGCTACAGAGCTGCATCACTGGACCTCTGAATTAATAAAGATTTGGTGTTTGGCTCGAGGACGCCACAGCAAAATCTTTAAATCTGGCGCTTCATCCAAGAACTTTTTTCTCCTCCTGTGCTGCGCAGGGTGTCAAGTGAAAACCCCCCACACACATAATGTGCCCTGTTGGTGAAGGGTTTGCTGACCATGTAATAACAACGTCCCCGATTCATGTCCAGCTAAATACATTTGTTTTGTTTCTACTATCTAATAAAGGCAAAAGGCCATTACTCAGAAATCCTGATGCAGCTCCTTCCTGTTTAATAAACTTACATCACAGATACAGGATGAGCGTTACGAGTCATCATACGTGGAGACTCAGTGGTTTCAGTGTGAGGACTCATTCCCTCTTACTAACTCTGAAACAAACAGTGCCTCATACGATTTCCATGATTCAACTTATCACCTTATCACTCTGTCAACACCTGGGGAGGAGAGAAGTTTCTATTCTTCTCTTATCACGAGCCTTGCTCTCGCTCCCTCACACAAACACACAACGAAACTCATACAGGAGTCACCAAACACGATGGGACTTTAATTTTGTTTTGTTCCTCAGTTGAATGGATTTCTGTTTTTTATTTTGCATTATATTCATATTTGTTTGTCTTTTGTGTGAGCCTTTGTTGGACACCTTATTGGTCAGCTTGTTGAGATAAGAGCGCTCAGGTGGTCAGGAACATGAACACTTACTGCACTTTCCCCAGTTGTTATTATTACAACTGACATCAGACATAAAATAACATCTAACAAAAAACATTTAGGAATGACACTGATAATCAGCAGACATTAAAAAATATTCAAGACAAATGGTGATGGTGTGGATCATCCCAGACTATATTATCAATAAAATGATTCAATTTCACATCAACATTGTTCACTGAACAGCAACTGACTTATATCCAAAATGGATGTAGCTGCTTATATAAAATAGTTAGACATTTTTTACACATTTTTCTGAAAGAAACGGACCCCAAAGAAAAAAAAATCAAATTATTAGACAATACTTTTGGGAAACATTTATTATTTCCACTTCAAATCAAAAACCAGGCCTGCATATTGAGACAGATATACTGGGGGACAAACTGTCAAACTGCAGGTGAAGTCAGGTAATGTGGGACACTATTTGGTAGATTACCAAGAAAACCAAGAAAAAAATCAGAAGACTATATAAGTGAGCTTTTTATGGATCTCTGCTATATTTCTATTAAGAAAAAACGTTGCCAGGTAAAATACTTAAGAAACTTTGGACCTTTAAACACATCAACAACCCCTACCTCACTCAGATGACATGTTCAGGTAAAATGAAACGTCTTTTAAGGTAATCTTAAGTGCTATATCGTAGGCAAGTGAACTTGCTTGAGTTTCTTGAAGACGTTTCACCTCTCAGTTCTGAACCGCAGAAGCCTCTTAGATGAGGGGTGAAACATCCTCAAGAAACTCAAGCAAGTCCACTCGCCTACGATATAGCATCTGAGATTACCATGACCTGAATGACTGAGAATCTTGGTTTGTTTTTTAAATGGTTAAATCAATTTGTCATTTCAGTCATTACTTTATCAAATCTGAAATTAAACCAAACATTTCATTTAAAAAATCATTTTTAAGTGACAAAGTTATGATGAAACAGTATAGCATAGTAACTCATGTTTTATGGCACCTGGTAGCTTACAAACATGCTGATTTCACTTCAGAAAAATGTCCCATTTTAGCTTATTTTTTGTCCTATTTTACCTGAAACATTAAATACTCACTCAAAATCATTTCCCATAAAAGGTTCAGTGTATTTTGAAAATGTTTTTATGTCAAACAGTTCATAAAATGTGACATCCTGTGACTATTTTGTGTTATGCCCTCATGGATTTAGCTGCAGTATTCTTATAACCAAGAAAAAAAAATTAACATGCTGCATGGCTTGCCTAATTTTTTGCCCTGCCCACTGTAGTTATCTCAGACCAATCAAAATCATTGTTTCATGTAAAGCACATTTGTAGCAACAAAAACATCTTTGGTGACTGGCAGCTAATATCTAAAGAGCCCAAGATGTAAAAACCTTGCTTGTCCAATTTTACCTGATGTGACAAATTACATGACTTCACCCTAAAAATGATGAATCCAAAGTTAGAAATTTAATTTTAAGTGTTTTTGGGCCTGTGTAAATAATCATGTCAAAAACAAACACTAGCTCTTGCAGACTTTCTCTGCCCTCTCAAAACCACAGGAGCTTTATGATTATCTGACTGGCAGTAATGTGGACTCAAAGGTCAGTTCGCCTGTTGAGTTATATCAGTTATTTAGAAAAGTTAGGCGTGGACCTCCTGCATTTATTTTTATGTTTTTGACAAAAGAGTAACAAAATAACATCTTCACATTATGCCCCAAATATTTACTCTGCATTTACATGTGATAACGAGTAATAAAGGGACTTGTAGTGCGTTTTTGGTGCGTAAATTTTTTTTAAAATCTGCAGAAACACAGCCTTTAATAATCAGGTTTGCTGTGATATTTGTAGGATGAGGACATGTAGTGCTGTCCATTTTTTAGCCTTGTGTCATATTACATGGGGAGGTCCTGTGCGCAAAGTTTTCCCGTAATGACTGCGCGTCTTGGGTGTATCCGGTCCGTTACACACTGGAGCTGGCTGAAGTGTACGAGTCCACGCCGTTCTTCGTCATCCCTCCAGGGAACAGAATATAAGCTACCTGAGGCTGTAAAGTGGCAGCGGACCAGGCGCTACAGTTACACGGCACCACGTACCCAGGCCCGGAGGGTGACGGGTGAGTGTGGGTGTGGGTGTGCTGTCCGTGGCAAGCCAGACCCCCCATCCCTCCAGTCTGGTATCCAAACGTGTGCGCGCTGTAGGGCAGAGCGCCGGCGGCCAGTGCGTGCGGGATCTCCGCCATGCGCTGGACAGCTCCGGTGCTGAACTGCGCCACCGGTTCCAGCAGCGAGAAGGAGGAAGAGGAGGAGGAGACAGGAGCGAGGAGAGCTCTGGCTTTATCCCCGGGAACGAGAAAGGAGTCCATGGAAAATCCCTTCAAATGCTCCGTTGCGTCCCCGAGTAAAGACGGCAGCGGGAAAACGAAACGGTCCCTCTTAAGGAGACTCTTGGGCTTGCGCCGGGGTCTGTACTTGTAGTCCGGGTGTTCCTTCATGTGCTGAGCCCGCAGCCTCTTGGCCTCGTCGATGTACGGACGTTTCTCAGAGTCGGAGAGCAGCTTCCACTCGGCGCCGAGTCTCTTGCTGATTTCAGAGTTGTGCATCTTTGGATTTTCCTGGGCCATTTTTCTCCTCTGGCCTCTGGACCACACCATGAAAGCATTCATGGGTCTTTTGATGTGATCTAAAGGTTTTGCCATCTCAGACGCTGACACATTAATTATTCCTACTGTAAACTGAGTTACCTCTCCAAGAAGCTCATGCTCCTCTCGTGCGTAAAGGAAAAGTGGTCTGCTAAGAAATATTATCCCTCTCTCTTTGGAAAAGACTAGAAACCGTAACTCCAAATTGACTGAAGCATTTGCACAAAGTGAAACAGAAAAGTACATAAAGCGCAAAGCCTGGGCGCATGAATGGGAGTCACACAGGACCAAGTTGGAAGCTTGTTATGGATGATGCTGGGCATGTCAACCGCTCATCACCACGCTACTGTCACGGCGGACCAAGCCAATGAGAATGAGAGAGAGCACTGTAATCCCTTCAGAAAAAGTGACTGTACAACATTTCTGAGGGACTCCCTCCTTCCCCCTTAGTTTCTCCAAATGTCTACAGACACAAGTGCAGGCAGGCAGGGGGCCAGTGAGGAGAGTAATCTGCTGCATGACACACGCAGAAAGCTAGAAATTAGAGGGTTTTGTACGAGCTATGGAAGTAAAATATTTAAGTTCCTCGTAGCATGTTGCTCATTTGCTCAGTGATGAATTTCTATTTCAGAAGATCTCAAAGAAAGTTGCTATATACTCCTCAAAGTCATGAGAAGCCATCTTATAAAACCAGGGGTGTAGCCAGAACTTTAGAAATACCAAGGCCATGGGTGAGTGGCCCCCAAACACCCCTCACACCCCCTGAATGAAAGTCCATACATTTGGTTATTACTTTGATTTCTTGTGGTGAATTTACTGCAAGATTTATTGGAACGCAGTCATTCTTTCAACAAAAATCCATCCTGAGATGCTGCACAAGAATGACTTCACTGACGCACTGATTGTTATCGTGTCTGATGAATCAAAGTCTGAGTCAAACTTGCAAGTTGTACACTGTCTGTTATTTTTCCATCACAAACTTGTCTGTGTCCATTAAACTCGAACATGTTTCCAATAATACTCAAAAACATCCACATGTGTAACTCAAGCAGCAACAAGCTGCTTCAGTGGTCAACAACTGTTTTTCTTTCAAGGTGGAACACCTGACCAGACAAACAAAGGTTCCTACCATATATAATGATGACCACTAATTGGTTGGGTTGCAGGATCCTTTCCAAAAAACTTTCAACTAAATAATTAGGCAATAACAAACCAGCAAAATAAAGAGGTTACTAGTCTAAGGGCTCTATCCTACATCCAGCACAAAGCAGCGCACAGCGCAACACAACTGTCATTGCTACTTTCAGACAGACACATGTAATTGTAACCATCTGTGCGCCCATGGGTGTGCAGGTCTCAACATGAGGTGTGGTCAGACACATTGTTGTTTGTTGTATTTTGATACAGCAAAAAGGGAACGTGCCATTGACCAACAAAAACCTGCTCTAAAGTCAGAATGACACAGTATTTTTCTGCTATTTAAAGGGTGCATTATTCAGATAGTAAGATGCGTCTACATAGGCGTACTCACAATGTGTGTACACTCTGCATGTCTCACACACAGGGAAGTGTGGATGGGTTGCAGGGGGTTGAAATAATACCTCATTACGGAGGAAAATATTAATTACATTCTCTAAAATGTGAACATGGCAGAGAGCAGAGCTGCTGTCTGACTCCCCATTAAGAGAGACGCTGTGTGCATTTACACACGAGGAGCTGAGTAACTTCATTGATTATTTCAGAAGCTAAAAGTTTAGTGCTGTTTCCTCTGTCACGTTTACAACAACGGTTTTTAGTTTTGCTGGTTGACTGTCCCACAGTATTTGCTACAGTGACATTACTGCTCTTACGGCATACCGCCATGTAAATCCACCAGATGCAGGTGTATTGGCTTTTAAAGGGAAATTCATGTCACATCCAGAATACATATGTGATTAATTAAGGGACTAAATGCCCTCTGTCCCTTGCACCTTACTTTGCACCAAGTTTATGCACCATTTGACCAGCAAAAGTGGTCTACACGCCCTAAACAGCCTTGCGCCATGCACTTGGGCATAAATACTGAATCCTGGTGGAAAATCAGTAGTAAAGTTGCACAATCAGACTACAAACTGTCAATGTTTTTATTGCAGAATGTAACTACACCAAAGTTGTCAAATTACCCACAGAATATACCTGCAATGACCCTACATACGGCCATGCATTAATCCAAATTAAAAGAAATCGGCCATAAGTGAGTGCATAAAGACTCTACTCCAAACTTGCCTCCATCTTTGTTGCAAAACCACTCCCAATTTGTGCTCCTACTTTTTAAAAATCCTGTCCTCAAAACTAACACAATCCCTCATTTAAATTCTTTCCCATGATGCCATGCAGGTTTCTTATATATCAATATGTGTACAAGCGGCTCATCTCTCCCTCCTCCATACTCTACAAAATCAATATTAATCACAGCCATAATTCACTGGCCCTGAGTGACTCCGTTGGTTGTTACAGTTTTCATAATTACTATACCTTATCTTATCAGATAGACGCTTTAGCCATCTCCTCTGTTATTGAAATGACATTGATGGAGAAAAGTCTGGGCAATAACTTAAAGGGACAGTTCAGCCCAAAATCAGAAATAGATATTTGTCCTCTTACCTGTGGTGCTATTAAACAGCCTCAATGTTCTTAATGTGAGTTGCCGAGTGTTGGAGATAGCTGTAGAGATGTCTGCCTTCTCTTAAATGGGGATGTCAAGAGGGCCAATACTTTGTTAATAAGTTGATGCCAAATTTCTGAAAACATGATGGTACTGGAGATAGAATTCTTCTGGACCTAATGACATAATATATACGCCAACAAGCGTTCTCTGCCATTAACTTCCACAGAAAGAAGAAGAACGGAAGAAGAACACAAGGAAAATGGCAACAGGTGCAGCTGCAGCAGCTCCGCCCCAACTTGCTGAAAAGAAAACTGTTTTTTTTCTTGAGGTGTATTTAGTTAATTCTTTGCAATGGGATCGCCGTGTTTTACATTGTGCTACAGATGCCAGCAGCTTGAAAAGGCGCTAAGCGTCTATTCTGTGCTGAGCGCTGCACACATGCCATTTTGTTCTGGTTGCCAAGAGTTGAAAAACATTCAACTATAACTAAAACCCTGTGCTCATCACTGTCACTTTTTACTTGGCTATCCAATCACAGTGAAAAAGGGGCGGGTTAAACAGCCTCCCACAAAGGCCAACCACCACAAAACAATAACAACAATAACAATGGAGAAGAAATATGTTAATGTACTCTATAGGCTATATGTTAACATATCTTTCCTTGCCCCCAAAATCTCATGAACCTACACAGACTTGTATTTAACAGTAAAATGTAAAAAAATAAACTTGGCAGTACATGGCAGTTATTGATTTGTTTTAGGTTTTTTGCCATGGTATCAAATTAGGTATCAAAGACCGTGGAATTTCGATTACTAAATTTCTAGCATTGAAGAAGTTTCATGTAGGAACTATTTTCTTTTTACCAAACTACACCCACCATCCATAGCAACACACAGAAGGAAGCGTGCGTCTACTCACAGACGAGAGGCTGGTGCTTGTGACAGTACGAGATTCAAACATTAATAGCGCTCTCAGCTGAGCAGTAGCTTCTGTAAGGAGACATTGCTGTTGATTTTTTCAAATTTATTTTTTGGCACTTTGAGCACCACCATCTTGTTCCATTATATTGGAGAGAAAGCAGACATCTCTACAGCTGATATCTCCAACACTCTGCAACTCAAACCAAAACAATCTAGATTAATAAATAGCACTACAGGTGAGAGGGAAATATGTACTTTCATTTTGGTCCCTTTACCTATAAATTATATTCAGTGTACATGTACACTGCTTCTCAGAAGAAGATGTAGGAGCTTATAGGTAACAACGGGGGGATTACTGTATAAGATATATGCTCAGGAAGCTCATTTTAAAAGGAGGAATTCAATACCATCTTTCTGGGTGGAAGCTTCCATGCCGTCTCAAAGGCACCCAAAATGGCTTCTGCAAAAAAGGGATTATTACCATGACAGAAGCATGATGTGTTTCCCCATAGACAGACCTGTGGTGGTGGGTTGAAGCTCTGGGTTTAGGTTTTGGTAGCAGTGATAAACTTAGATATCAGGGTACCAGTGAGGAGGAGGCCTTTATTTCATTTACCTCCCACAATCAAAGGCACTGCAGGCCTCTTGAAAGGCAAAATAAATGGACATAAAAGATCCAGTGGTGCACACCGCATTGGTGGTAGAGCTGATAAGACGTTTTCAGAGAGTGTTTTTTCCTCCGGGTTTCCTCAGAGCAGCCGGGCTGGAGGGATAAAGTGATTGGCAGCAGGGGTCAGACAGTTGATCTGTCTCCTCATGGCTGTGCTGTTATCTACTGTGCTGTAGGTTCAGGCCTTCACACACAGGAGGCACCCACCGCCACACAGAGACAATGATTACTTCCACAGTGGAACCATGTTTAGAGAGTTTTCGATGGTGAGAAGAAAACCTGTCAACATGAGAGTACCTGAAGGGCAGTATGGAGAAATCTGTCTCTTTCAAACTGTTACTATCATCTGTCGAGATTTAGTTTTACTCTCCTCAAAGCTTTCAGCTGCTTCAGTTGTGAAAAAACACAAAGAGTATGTGTTTTTGTGTACTAGTCAGTGTTTGGTGTGACTTCTAAGAAAGGGCAGCATTTCAACTCTGGAGAGATGAGGGGGAGAAAAAAAGGGTAATAAGCAAAACTGCCAGCAGCACAAAATGGCTGTCGTAATCCGGTTATCCCCCGAGCTCTAAAGATACTGGTCCTCTCCTTAGGAGTCTATCTTTTCTTCTTATGTCAAAACTGTCCTCCATGCACTCAGGTGGATTAAAGAGTCACACTGTAGAAAGAAATTGACAGGTACAGAAAGACCTGGGGGTGAAAAGGAAATGAAAGAGGACACAGAGAGGCAGGCCGGGCGCTCCAGCCAGGGGAGTGTGCCAACGCCTGACAAGAAAAGAATCTATCAAGCTGAGGCCATGCCAGAGAAAAAACCCCCACTGATGTTTCCTACTAATTTACTGTATTGATCAACTGAATAATTACTGGAAGAGATGATTGCGTATTTTGTATCTTGTGAAATTAATTTTCTTCTTTCTCTGAAT